TTTCTTTCTTTAAAATAAAAATAACTGATGTCAATAAAAAAAAATAAAGTTCAGACTAAATTGCAGGACAATCATGAAACAGTTATATAACTCAAATATATATAATTGGAATAAATGCAAGGGTTTAAAGATAGTAAGAAATTAAGATACATTTTGAGAAGGGTGTGTAAGAATTATTAATTTCCACAGCTAAAGAATGGGAAATGAAGCTATGACTCACATTACCTACCTGGATTTTCCCATTGGCCATGTAGAGTGACACATAATAGGGGAACCATGGGCAGCTGTAATTACACTACAAGCTCAAAATTACTTCTTTGTTCAGATTAAGGTTGAGGCAGCATGTACCATGATAGGACAGAAAGGTATTTCTTTCAATAGAGCCTTCAGAGCACACTGATGATTGGTTCTTCTTGCTGCAAACCATTGTCTTGTGCTTTTTTTTAAACCTCTTGGTCTGTCACTACCTTTGTGACTGTGGGTAAATCAGTTCATTTCACTAGATTTCAGGTTCCTCCTCATTAAAACAATAGCCTGAGCCAAGCCTGTGAGTTATGTTGGAACTCATCTTGTTGGATCCTTCCAATCTCCAACAGTAGGATTGGCAAAGCAAACCTGCATTAACCATCTGGTTTGACTACGCCTTCATTATAGCCAATAACAGTTTTAGAAACATTGTAATTCTTACCTTTTATGGATGTTTCCCCAGGAGGCATTAATGTTCTCTGTTATCATGTGCACCTTTCTTGTGTCATCTGCAGAGTAATCCCGGAGAAGTTTCAGTGCCAAGTCATTTGCCACATCTACATTTATCTGCCACTGGCGGAGGTCTTTGGCCAATTGCTACAGATGTGGATGAGAGAGAAAATGAATGGCAAGTTTCCTCTGAAATCTCTAGCTGGGGTTTCTGCAAATGCTTTAGTAATAGCTTCTGAATTCTCAGGTTAGAATATGCCTACAAGATTGCTTTTAACCTACTATGTGATTTAGTCAACCATGACGGTATACGTTAGCATTTTCCATGACAAAACTTTTCCAATGTAGCACCTTGAGCAATAATCAATTTCAGGTAGTTCAATTAAAGGGGAATTAATTGGGAATAAAGTAAGCTTAATTGTTTTTATCATAGGTGAGAGAAGACTATAAAAAACAAGCTCCTATATAATTGTCAATTATGTGACATGCTACAAAATTTGAACAGAAGAAAAAAAATTATGCATTTCTCCTCCTTTCATTAACTTGTTGAATTGTTTATGTAATTAGTGCCATCTACTGGCATTCAACTAAAGTTGCATATAGAAAATAATGAACAACAAAAGGACAGTATTTGTTATGAAATTTTCTGAAGGATAATATAGTATTTTTAAAAATCCTAAATAAAAAATATAAAAATCTTGTAACACCAAAACAGCTATGGTTTATTCTTTGTCTTTGACCAAATTTTATCAAACTAGCCATTTCATCACTTTGTCATATTTCAAAGAAAGAAGCCAGCTAATGATAGCTATATCTGGAATGGTTTCTAAACAATTCGATAATTACAAAGTAAGGTTCTCTTTCATATTCAGTATGGCGGGCTAAGCCACTGATACCTGGTCAGAGAAATAAGAAGGGAGAATTTAAAAAACATAAATGATAAAGTAATTTCACAAAAAAGAACAAAGTTAACTGTTTAAATGAAAATGTATTAAATCATGAAGGTACAACTGGCACCAATTAAATTAACAAATAAAGCCCAAAGTAAGAAAGAGATAAGATTAGCACATACTTCTACTATTCCTGGGAATAATGTCTATCAAAAACAATTTGGCAATAGATAGAAGTGCTTATCCCCACTGACCTAGTAATGCTACTTGTGCTTTATCCTGATAAAATATTCAAAGGAAGACATACTATAGCAATAATGTTCTTCCTTAACCAAAAGAGGAAAGCACAAAAGTCCCAAACAATTTCAATATTTAATGAAGGAATATAAAAGACCATAGGACCTTCATCCAACATCCTATTACATAGAAAATGTGGACAATAATCACTGCAAAAAGACCACAATTTGTTTATGTGCAAAATAGAATGCAGTTTTGTAATTAAGAAAGGTATCTTTGTTACTTTCTTGTTGCTGGGACAAAAAACCCAGCATCCACAAGTTAAAGGAGAAGTTTCAGTTCATAGTCCACTGGTTCTAAGGCAGAGCAGCATGGCGGAGGAGAAACTGTTCATGGTGTGGCAGATGTGAAGCAGTCAGGGATCAATGGAAGAGGAGGGACAGAGACCCTTCCAAGCCACACCCACAGTAACCCAGCTTTTCCCAGCAGCCTTCCTGTCCCAACAACATACCCAGCTATAAAGCTATCAGTGAACTAATCCAGTAATGAGTATCACACACTTACAATCCAGTCACCTTCCCATAGCCCCACCTAATAGGCTTGGAGGGAAGTACCCAGATAGAGTTCATAACAAAATGGAAGAGAATAATTTAAAAGTAACTGACGTTTCTGCAAAGAAGAATCATGTATGTTTCAGTAAATTTTGTTTTGTGCTAGTATGTTTAGAAAATAAAGATCAAACACTGATACTTTTAACATAATTTCTTGTGTTTGAACTCCTGTTCCTTAAAAAAATATAATCTGGCATTTCTTAGTCAACAAATATATCCTATACTAAAATCAAACTAAATAATAATGTGTACTACATATAGCAAATAACCCAGATTACCAGTTACCAAGAAACTAAGTTCAACAGACTAACATTTGCTATGGAAGCAGTAGAGAATCTCTAATTACACAGCATATTTGCTGTTCCTGCAAAGCAATTCTCTTCCTCTCTCCACTTAAGTCAAATCTAATATGATAACAGCAATATAAGCTAAAATTTAAACAGTCATGTGGTCCTTATTCTCTGGAAGATGGTATTTGTACTGTAAAAGATGAGTGTATCTATCATCTATTGGTTTTCTAATTCACAGCTTAAACATTACCAAAACAAGAACAATCCCTTGTTACGACTTTTGAAGACAATTCCTTTGTAAGGATGATTCTACTGTTAAACAAATACTTGTGATGAACCAACATCACAAGATAAATGTATAGGCTTATAAATGTAGAATATAAAACTTGTAATGAATGTATAATTAAAATAGTGGACTTTAGGTAAGCAAGTTAAATAATCTTGTAAACTCCTCCTCACTCATGGTTGCTTATGGAAAGTATAGATATAAGAGGATACAACCTCTGAATGGTTTTGTGGTTATAAGTATACTTTCAAAACCATCAAATTATGTTCATGAAATATGTATTTTTCCATTTACAAATTATACCTCAAGAAAGTTGCTGACAACAACAAAAATACAGGATGTTACAGTGAGCCTAAAATAATTTATTGCTCATAAAATACCTGAAAATATAACCTGCAAAGTATGCTATGATTTTCCAAAACCCCTGAAAAAAAAAAGCAAAGTAGAGTTAAATGACTTTATAGTAAAAGGATAGTAAAAGAGCAATGTTTAACTTTAAACCAGAGTTTTTGCCATCTAATTTTCTCTAAAATTACATGCACAGTAAAAGCTAAATTTTTTATCTAAAAAATTTTGCAACAAACACTAATGGATACTGCCCAGGTTTTGTGAGAATAGATATAAGATTAAAAAGAAAAGCTTTCACTGACCTTGTCAACATTATAGCCCTTATCTATACACAAGGTTCACAATCACAGCTTTCTTTTTCTGTCTACTTAACCATGGTCATAGAAAACACTGGTTTCTCTTCCTCCAAAGGTAGTGCATTGATCACCTTGAGTTTTGTTGAAGTGTCATTCACACTAGAAAACATGACCTTGGCTTGAGTTTTCCTACCACTGTGAAATTTACTACTGATCTCAGAAGGAGTGTAAATTCAAAACTACAACAGACTTCACACCACCCTTTTATCTTGCTGGATTCCATTTAAAATCATGTATGCTATAGGGAATTGTTTGTGAGGTGATCATGATGTGTGAAGAAATTGAAAGCATTATGACCACTAGCCTATAAAGAAGATGACTTTGTAGGTATATGTGTGTGTGTTTTCTATAAAGACTATAAAGTGCCAAACACACCAAAGATTGTATCTCCAACCAAAAAAGAGAGATTTCATATTCAAACCTAATTGGATGCTGCCACAATATGGACATAGTACTTATGCACAGTATTTTAGATAGAAAAATGGTTTTAGATTATAAAACAGCCCAAGGGAAACTCAAGATTTTTTTACTTTCATGTTTCCCTCATTTCATTGTTTTATTTGCAGGAACTCTCTCTAGGTGTACTGACGATGCAAAAGAGAAAAGAGGGGAAGAGAAGAAAGTGGTTAAAAGTCTAAACAATAGAATGAAGCTGGTGGTTTTGAATCTTGACTTAATCATTTAGTAGTCATATGACAAATGGGAAAGTTAATTGCCGATGCATGAGTTTCTTCCTTTGTTAAGTGGAGATAATGAGCACTAAGTTAGAAAATTCAGGGAAAATGCAAATGTGTTAGGCAAAATCTAAGAATTAAATATAATAACTATCATTTCCACCATCATCATCACTACTGCTACAGTTACTACTACTTTTAATGAATCACACCTATAGTCTTCTTCAGACACTCCCCTTCTCGAACTAAGGAGTTTGCTGTTTTATAGACATTGCAGCAGCTCTCAAACTTTCCCTTTAATTTAGAAGATAAAAGTGCATACATGGACCTATAATTAATGTTTTAACACTGAGTATTATGTTAATTTTCTTATTAAATGTGTTTTGGGATATTCACCTACAAGGAAAATAAACATTTGTTCTGGGTGAACTAGATTCAAAAAATTTTAATGACTGTCTCAGAGGAGCTTCATGAAAAACTATGAGCATGAACAAAAGGTAAGTTCCCAGGAGGCCTTGTTTGGCCATTGTCCTGCAGTTTGAACCTTAAAGAAGTCATTAACTTCGGGAGTCCAGTTTTGTCATCTGAAAAATAGGACAGGCTTACTCTGCTTATGCCTCTGGCACGTTGTGAGATGCCAAAACCAAAGTCTAATTGCTTGCAAAATTATAAAACAGGATTGTGACATATTTAAGGGTGAAAAGTTCTACATATTGGATTTCTATGACTTGGTCATGGATGTAAGTGTTACATTTATTCACTAAGGGGTTCTTGGAAACTTTTAGCACTGTGAGCTGAAATGCAAGAGCTTAGAAACTCTTAGCTCCATTCTCTGACCATTTCCTACTGTACTCAGTTATAGATGGACTAACTCCTGGAGGAGTCAAAATTCCCTAGGATCTCCTGTGAGAGAGCTTCATGTTGAGTGAAGCCAATGAGAAACACTGGCAGAAGACTTCTGAAGAGCAAGAGAAAGAACAGAGCTAAAAAATCTCTCCTGCACTCCATTTGGGCAGTATCTCCTTTCTGTCCCTATCTCCAAGTGGACAATCCCTTGCTGTAGTAGTTTCAGCACCTGCTCTGCAGTCCCCACAGTGTCTGAATGAGCACCAGATGGCTGTGGTTTCCTGGTGTTGGTAACACTTGATCCCTCTATGCTTCGAAGTGGTAACAGCTTCCTCAAGTTGTTAAACTTCCAGTTATCTCCTGTTGAATTTTTCAGCTCCTTCCTTACCTATCAAAATAGCTTTTTATATTAAATTCTCTCTGTTTTAAATATCTAGTTTGGTTTCTAGACTGAACTTTGATTATACTAACAGAAATATCACAGCAAATGACCTCCCCTATAATTACACATGGGTAATTCCATGTATCAATTACAAATTATACAAAGTATCAGACTTCACATCTTGCATGCTTGTCTCTAGTCTCAGAGGAAGAATCAACTCTTCTGCT